GGCCTAGACCCTTCTTCAGAAAATGAAGGAGGAAGAAATGAAGGAGGACCTTTCTGAAGAAGGGTCTAGGCCTGAAACGTCAGCCTTCCGGCTCCTCTGATGCTGCTTGTCCTGCTGTGTTCATTCCGCTCTACACCTTGTTATCTCTCCTTCACTGCTGGGCTACGCTTTTCTTTCCTTTTTTTGCAGTGAATAACTACTTTTAGATGCGTGAAATTACAATTAATTTCAGCTTCTGTCTACCTACATAATACAGCGCAAAATTGTAAAAGCGTGGGAGCAAAATGCCCAGGACAAGGACACCGAGTGCCAGTGCTGTTAATAACAACACTAAACCGCTGTTCTCTGAGCAAAACACTGGAGGACGCTATTGTATCACGCACAGATCATGGTCCAGCTATGTTGGGAAATGCCTCATTAACAGACAGAAATGCCGCATTAAATAACATATGTTTTCACAACATGATAGTGTATGTATCAGAAACTCGGCACTGCTTTATTATAAAATCTATATTCTTTGAGATGGTTTAACTTTTTTTCACAATTTGGCCCGTCCTCATTAATCATCGTTCGAAACTAGCCAAAATCGCTCTTTTGTTAAGCTACTTTCAAAGGAAGTTCGATTTCTTTTTTTTTGTCTTTAATAAGAGTATGTCCTGCACAATTAAAAGTTTAAGGTGGACTCTTATTTTTCGGACAAAGGCTCACAGAGACTTAAAAGGGTGAACAATTGACAACTCAAACCGAATCAGATTGTAAGGCAGCACTGGGTCAACTCCCAACAGCTGAGAGTTTGACACCTTTCGTCGCTTGGAAAAAAAACTATGTGAAGCACGTCTCTCTGCTCACATTCAACCACCATCTATCAAAGTGTAAGACAGCTTTCTGTTCTGAGCACATAGCTGAAGTCCATCGTAACAATGCAGCGCGCTATTTACATGTTATGTACTGGTACAGGATTAGCATTTGGACTTTCTCTTTAAAAAAAAATCCACATGAAACTCTGGAGGAGTTTGCAAAACGTTGGACTTAAACACATTATGTACAGCCCACTGCCACACAAGCCAGGACCGCAAATCCCTGGAGTTATTCCTGGTAACCAGCTAACGGTTCCAAGCACACTTTAGCTACGCCCCCTTCCTCCTCATTTTTACCCCTCAACTCTCAAGTCAGCTCAACCTATCTTCCCATGGGGGGGTCTGGTGTCACTCATTGTGATTGACAGGGGCATCGGCCACAGGAGGGGGCAGCTCAGTGTGGGACAGGACGCCAGCAGCAACCAATGGGAAGCGCGGTAGCGGTAAGTTTGGGGAGGGCGGGCTGAGTCTTCCTGTGCTTGTGGAGTTTGGTTGCGTTGGGAGCGAGTGAGAGACAGCAAGATCCCGGAGAATGACCAAAGCGAGTCATGTATTTCCTAGTGCCAGAGCGAACGCGGCAGTGCGCTGAAACGGTGTCCAACCGCCCTCTCTCCCACTACAGGCTGTGAGTTAGAGAAACACACGGAGGCTGAACAACTGCATTAAACAAGAAAAAGAGTTGGACTGGGTCAAAACCAAAAAAAAAGTTTCACAAACTTTCGGGAAAAAAAAAGCAGCTTTTGAGAGAGAGGAGAAAAAAAAATTATGGAGAAGATGGTAAAAAGAAAAACAATTTAATATTTGAAGGAAACGTGGACAGTACCTTTGCTGGAATTTCGCCCACCTCTCTGGCTTCATTCAGATTTGATGCATTTTGCAGTCAGTGGGTTGAGTTGGAAAGGTGTGCTGCGTTCGCCACTCTCACCATGGTCTGGTCAGGTAGGGGCCGTAACTTGCTCGCCGTGTTGCTGCTGTTGTTGAGCTTGTGTTGGGACGCCGCGTCGAACCAGCTGCGCCAACTGTTTGAGGTGGAGGAAGAGCGGCCGCCCGGCACGGTGGTAGGTACCATTCTCACCAAGCCCGAGTTCACTTACCGATTCAGCGAGCGGCACGCCTTGTTCGCCATCAACGCCAGCACAGGTGTCATCTCCACCACCTCGGTGATCGACCGCGAGTCACTGCCGGCGGACGTGATCAACATTGTGGTGTTGTCCAGCCAGCCCACCTACCCCACCGAGGTGCGCATCTTGGTGCGGGACATTAACGACAACACGCCGGTCTTCCCCGAGCCTTCCATCGTGGTGACCTTCCGAGAGGACGCGAGCGGCGGCCGCCAGGTCATCCTCGACACGGCGACCGACGCGGATACCGGCTCCAACGGGGTGGACCACCGCTCCTACCGGATCGTTCGGGGCAACGAGGAAGGAAAGTTCCGCCTGGACATCACCGTCAACCCGAGCGGGGAAGGCGCCTTCCTGCACCTGGTGTCCACCGGCGCCCTGGACCGGGAGACGGCGCCTTTCTACCAGCTGCTGGTCGAGGTGGAAGACCGGGGGCTCCCCAAGAGATTCGGTTACCTGCAGGTCAATGTCACGGTGCAGGACACGAATGACAACCCGCCCAGCTTCTCACAATCTCACTACCGGGCCAGTGTCTACGAGGACGTGGCCGTGGGCTCCAGTGTCCTGCAAGTGTCGGCCAGCGACGTGGACGAGGGTCTCAACGGGGACGTGATGTACTCGCTGGACGAGGGCAGCCCGTTCCAGATCGAGCCCCACACCGGCGTGCTCACCGTACGGGAGAGCCTGGACTACGAGAGCAAGAAGCGGTACTCGCTGGTGATCCGAGCGCGGGACGGCGGGAGCCCTCCCCTGAGCGGCCGAGCCGAAGCCACGGTCCAGCTGCTGGATGTGAACGACAACGAGCCGGTGGTGAAGTTCCGCTACATGCCGGCCAGCTCCAAGTTCGCGGCGGTGGACGAGAACGCGCCGGTCGGCACCGTGGTGGCGCTGCTGACGGTCAGCGATGCCGACTCGTCTGCAAACGGCAACATCTCGGTGTCCATCCTGGGCGGGAACGAGCAGCGGCACTTCGCGGTGCAGCGTTCCCCAGTACCGGGGCTCAGCCTCATCAAGGTGGCGAGCTCCCTGGACCGGGAGCGTATCCCCTCCTACAATCTGAGCGTCTCGGTATCCGACCACGGAGTGCCGCTCGCCCGCAGCTCGCTGGCCAGCTTGCTCATCTTCGTCAACGACATCAACGACCACGCCCCGGTCTTCGAGCACTCCTTGTACCGGGTGGAGGTCGCCGAGGACGTGCCGGTGGGCAGCTACATCGGAGGCATCTCGGCCACCGACGGCGACTCGGGACTCAACGCCCGGCTCCGTTACTCGCTGGTGTCCGGTAACCGGTTGGGCTGGTTCCACTTGAGTGAGGACAGCGGGCTGGTGACCAGCGCTGCCCGGTTGGACCGGGAGACCACCTCCCAGCTCACCCTCAACATCAGCGCCCAGGACCAGGGCATCCAACCCCGAACTTCGTACACCACCCTCAGCATCACCATCCGCGATGTTAACGACCAGGCACCCGCCTTCCCCCGCCGCTCCTACCGGTACTCGGTCCCCGAGAACTCTCCCCCCGGTACCGAGCTGGCCATCTTCACCGCCCTGGACAAAGACCTGGGAGCCAACGGTACGGTCCGCTTCCTCCTGGACCCCGACAGCCCGGCCCGTTACCGTGACCTCTTCCGACTGGACCCAGTGTCCGGCCGCCTCACCAGTGTCACCGAGCTGGACCGGGAGGAACACGCCGAGTACAACCTGTCGGTGCAGGCCCGGGATAAAGGTAACCCCCCGCTCTCCTCGGCGGTCCAGGTGACCGTCACCCTTCAGGATGTCAATGACAACAGCCCGACCTTCTACCC